CGACCTGCACGTCGACCATTGCTTGCGTTGTATATGGCCAACTTGGCGACCGAATCTATATGGAATATGGCTGAGGTGCGCGGTTATGTGCGTTCTATACCACAAGGACAGACTTTAATATTCGGCGTTAGCATATCAGCGCTATTGTATTTGTATCGATTGGGTCTGCATAAAACCACCTGCAAGGATTCGCTATTCAATGTCTTGCGGTTTTTTGTGGATAAAAGAGAAGAGGGTCCGGTAGTAGCGAAGGCGGGGTGCGAGGGTGCAGCGACGGCGACGGCGACAGAAGCGTCCGTGAGTGCTGCATCAACGTCCTCATCTGCCAATACTCAACGCTCTCGCGCACCACTTGACTTTCGGAGTATAAATGTACTCGTCCAGATCTATAGTCGTTTCTTGGATGCGGTGAAGAGTAGGCATCCCTCTTGCCCGCATCGTGATAATTGTTGGCATTATGCGCTAATGGGTGGTCTCAGACCCTTTGTTGGCGGTATTGGTTTGCAGTTGGCGTTGAGGCTGATCATGAATTTCAAGAAAATAATGCAATTCAAGTTGGACGTGCGTAAGACTATATTCAATAAGGACACACTAAATTTGGGCATATTCCTGGGTTGCTTTTCCTTCTTATATAAGGTGGGTGGAGCACAAAAACGTATCATAAAGAAAGGAAACAATTTTATATTAGCCGTGTTTTCTTTGTACGTATGTATGTATGTATATACATATTATACGTATCTATATACATGTATACATACATCTACGCTTAACTTGCAAAAAAAATCAAGCAACGACAATTTCCATTCAAAAACAAATAATTTTGATTTTATCGACAATTATTCATAACAACAACTATTTTAAAGGCAGTGTCATACGATTGGGCATTTGCCCATAATTTGGTGCAAATCGTATTCAATAAGGATTGAAGATTGGAAATTAACAAATTAACGATGGTCTTAAATTTTTATAATAGTATTGAAGTCGGTTTTGTTTTTTTTTGCTTAAAAATTACTTGTTTGTTTTCTTTTTGGATTTGCTATTACGAATTTTCTAATTTTATATTCTAACTTTTTACTTACAGAGGCAGCCACTTGGATAGCGCCCTCTTTTGCTGCTCAGTATTGACAGTTTTCCTTTTATTTATTTAAAAGTACTCATTAATTTTTTAAACAAATATAACATATTCTCTACAAACATTTTTTATTTAAATTCTATTTTGAAACTTTATACAAAACTTTATGATAATTCAACAAATTTTTACAAAATTTCAAAATGAAAATGAAAATGAAAATTTATTGAATTGCTATATCTACTTGTTATATTTTTATACAAAATTAATGGCAATAAAAAACTTAAAATAACAATAGTTTGAAATTTCCATTAAAATTTACTCAAAAATTATAAGTTTTGAATTAAGTTTGAAAATCTGATTTACATGATTTTTATAATATAATGTGCTTCGTTTTTTTTTAATTAATGTAATTTTTTTTTATTATAAATTTTGTATACAGTTTGAAAATCGGATTTTCATACATGATTTTGTTATATAATGTGCTATAATTTTATACAAAATTAATGAATATTAAATAAACAAAAAGGAAAACGTCAATACTAAGCATCAAAGGAGGGTGCTATTCAAGTGGCCGGCACTGTATTTGTATAATTTTTGATACAGTTTTTATTGTTATTATTTTCGTTTATGTAATTGTAAACTTTTAAATCTAACCTCTAGGGTGTTTCCTGTACGCTGCGGCACAGCTTTGGTCGCGATGATCCCCGCTTTGCGATACCAGCGGGTCTGCTAGCCAGCACAGCTTTTACAAAATATCCCGACGTGACAGTGGCGCTGTATGTTATGTGGAAAGCATTACAAGTAAGTTAATTACATATTGAAACATATGTATGTACGTATGTAGGTTTCTGGATAAACAAATAGTTTACTGAAAAAAATCCATAAGCCTTTCTACTTTCCATATACCTTTGCTTTATATTTTGACTGACCCAACAAGAATAAGATATCAGCTGAATCAAATGTTTTAAATTTTTGCTATTTATTTTCGTTTTATCTGTTTACTGGAATAATAGGTAGATAGATAGATATTAATATGAGGTGTGCACTGCGACCTTAGGGTATAATGTGCGCTAGTCTCTTCAAAACAATCATGTTATGCTCAAGGCCAAGGTGTAATTGTGTATCTTGGGCAGAGTCACAGAAGTGGCAGAGAACACTGGACCAGATGAACAATTTGTGTGTCCTGCCACAAAGCTTCTGACGATTTTTAAATGTTCCTTTGGCAGATTTGTTACAACCTTAAATCTTTTTAAGTTGTATCCCGCACGTAAGCACTTTGGCTGGCGTAAAACCCTTTTGACAATCGCCAGTGCTTTTCTCTCATTGCTCTATTTACTCCTCTGAGCTCTTCTGTGATTGTATTTGAATCTGTTATCATGTAGAGCTCGCACACATTTGTGATTGTGGCCCATTGTTGTAGTTCCTACTCAGATTTATCTCCGCACACTCACTGATGGCGTAGACTTCTGTCCCATTGGCACAGATATCCCAGCCCGGGGGCCATTACTCCTGTGATGCAATCACATGCCAGACGTTGAAGCTTTTTGAGCGACTGCTCTTCCAGTAAAGCCGGGTAGGTGGTATTCTCTATTTGCTATTTACTCGATGCAGAGATACCTAGAATTGACTTCATCATAAGCATAAGCGGAGAATTGCATTTTATCCTTCCTGCCAAGGCGTAAGTATTAGAGAGGGTACCTTTCGAGGTGCATCGAATGCCATTTCGGCTGCTCCAACTAAGGAAATCCTAGATAATGTTCACAAGAACACCTCGGCTTACGGGGATTTGAGTCCAATTAATCAGTACTTGGAGTCTCGCAGTTATACTATCATCCGATTATTATTCGATTACTTGTTAAATTTTTGTAAAACCTTTAATTTTGTTTAAAATCGATTTTTATTCATTTCGTTTTATTTTTATCGCTTTTTGTTAAATTTATTGTCATTGTTATTTTATTTATTTTTACCTTTATGCGCTACGTAGAATTTCTTTGAAACGCCTTAAATTCCTTTAATTTATCTTTCTTATAGATCTGCTACAATTTGGGCATCAAAGAAGGGGTTTTGCCCCACGTTTCGAATTTCACGATATTCTTATACGCTTTCTGTACGGCTATAGAGTTTCATGCAGGCATTCTTGAGCCAAAAACGGTGCGACCGAGCTATATCAAATTTCTCCAAGGGATGTCAGGAGACAGGTGAGTGAAATTATTATTTTTTTAAGTACTACTATTATTAAAATTAAAAAATATATATATTTTAGATAAATTAAAAACCAAAGTCCTTCAATTAGTAACAGTTCATTGATCTGAATATAAATAGTTCACTAGGCTTAAGAAACGTAAACGAATTTTATTTAAGAAATAATTGTAGTTCTGATATTAAAGAGATAAGAAAAATAATTTTTTCAAAATGGTATGCAGTGAAACCTTGTTATAACGAACCTTGATAAAATGAAAAACTCTATATACAAGAAAGTTTGGCTGAATCCCCTTAAAAAAAACCTCGTTGTTGCGAAATTTTCCCTAAAAGATGCTTCATAGATAAATACAAAATATTATTAAGTTATTCACTGTTGGTCATTAGGATAGCGCACCCCTTTGTTGGTTTTAATTGTATAAAATTTGTGTAAAATTTTAAAATTGGATTTACATGGTTCTTGTTGTAGAATATTTTTGTTTGCATTTTTAATACAAATATGTTTAATCTAATTAAATTTTTAAGTACTATTTCCTTCTGTCTTGATAAATTTGTTTCTTTTTCTAATTTAATTTTGTGTTATTTATTAATTTTTATTATTTTAAAACGAAAAATATATATGTTTTTTATTTAATTTAGTTAAAAAAAAAAACTGGTTGCTAAAAGGCGAACAAAGTGACGCTAAGACCTCCTCGTAGCAGATCTTTCAATTCGAAGATTGCCAGAATTTTCCTGTAAATAAACATTAATGAAACTGTAAATTGTAAGGATCCAAAGAGTGCGCTATTCAAATGACGAGGAGTGTATAATGAAGAAATTTTGAACATGAAAACCTTCGGAATATATGGACGGTTAAAGTCCCTGTTATATAACGAAGTGTCGACTCAAAAGCCTCTGCATAACGAATTCTGAATACGTGGACGGTTAGAGTACCGTTGTAAAACTATACTTCAAAGCAATTTCTTGTTGCATCGAAACTATATAAGTAACGAAGCATTTGTTTATTTCACATTCGATTATTTCGAAGCAAATAAAATACCTGATCGTATATATGTATGTATGTAGGTATTTCGGAATTCTGAGGTTTCAAGTGGCCCGCTCTGCATAATTGTACCTTTCTGGAACTTTCATATTTAATTTTTTTCTTGCAATATAATTTATTTTTTTTTCGTTTTTTTTCAGATTTAATCGATTTAACTTGGAACCCTTCAGCATCTATGGTCAAAATGCCAGCGAACAAATGCGAGAAGTTTCCAGAAAACTGAATATTATCAACCAAGCACCGTTGCCTAAATGTTCACTTGCCTCGTGGAAATAATACTAACATACATACATACATATAGCGATGCAATATCTATAATTACATATACAATGTATAGAGAAAAGCAGACTTAGAAAGGGTTTAGAGAGCGCGATAATGCAGAAGGCAAAGCCTTTCGCTAAAGAAGCGATTTAGAATGAGAAATACAATTGTGTGATTCACAACGAGTCATTACAGTCATAAACTTTAAAACTTTAAAACGTTAAAAACGATGCTGCAGTTGTTATGAATCATTCAAAAATAAATTTAACGTTTATAAATTTTATGAAAATATCACTAATTACGACAACTTGCGAATCACCAAAATAATTAGTTAGACATCGTCGTAGTAAGGCAACGAAGCAGAAGAGCATGAAAAATAATGTAATAAGTGTAAAGACATTCTTTAATGAATGATGAAGAAAAGCGTAATCGAGCAGAGAATCAGCTAGAGTTTCATAAATGTATTATGAATAAAATCAATTTTTTTTTATACTACATACTATGTGCATATGTGCAAGTGTTTCTTAGCGTTTTTTTTTTTGTTTTATTATTATTTTTTACTTGATTTTGTTTGGATGACTTATTAAAGATTAAGTGAAAATCCTAGTATTTGTACATAAATATATATTACGAAAACTTTAATTCTAAAAATTTGGGTGATTTGTTTTTAGACGCAGGTCTTTCAAACTGCGGTGTATTGATTTTTTGGTAGACTTTTATATTTTCCCTTTGTATGGTTAAAAAAATAATGATGTGGTGGAATTTGTATGCATATTAAAATCTTTCTTATTTATATTCTTTCATTAATAATAATATTCTTTATTCTTGCTTAAAAAAAAAAACTTAGGAATAGTCGTTGCCTATGATTTAGGTATATAAAATAAAATAAACACATAAACATACATATATGGATATGCATATTTATAAAACTAAGGTTAAGACATAAACTAGCTAATAGCTACGATAAAAAAAGATTTTACAAAATTTAATAAATAAAAATATACATTACTTTAAAATTTCTGTGACCGTCACAAAATAATTCCAGATTTTTATATTATTTGATAGAGCGTCATATAAAGCGTTGTTACTAGAAAAGCTAATTTGATTTTACTTGGCAGTACACAAATATCAAAATTTTATATTTCACTAAAGTAAATGTGAATATATGTATTTTCTTTCACGCTTCTTCCTTGAGAAAGGAATAGCTGAAATTTGACATTTGGTACCAAATGCAACAACAAAATACATATTTTTTCGAACTGTTGTTACCACCTTATATGCATTCGCCTTTATCTGCGCAAAGTCAAACAATGTTGAGTTAGCATATCGACGGCTGAGTGGAAGATCGCCCTATCTCGACTGTCGGTTCGAAAACGCCCTAGAAATTTAGACATCTTCCTGCTGCTAATCTCGTCACTATAGTATGTTTTGGCAAAACGAGTGAGGTTTACGAACGGATTTGTGCTTCTTCGCAATCCACCGTGAGTTCGCGCTTCACGTTCAACCTCCATGTGGTGAACATATTGCAGTTTGTATATACTTTTAGGGTATGTGCCGCGAGTATGCGGTTAAGTAACTTTTATTTGTAGCAGTAGTTGTTGTTTATCTAGCGGTACGCTATCTCCAAAATGGATGGTAAGCTGACGAGAATGCCTTGGGCAAGGAATTCCGAATCAATTCTTCCATTCATCTCAGAGTTAATTTTCACCAAAAACACCAGGCTCGTTGTCGTAATATGACTCCCAAAGCCTACAGGGTTTCAATAAAAATTTTGACTCGGTAAACCTAAAAATATGAAGTTTTGATGTAGTTTTTAAAATGAAGAATACGTGCATTGTGTCGAGTAAATGACCGAGCTAAAAGCATTGCCCACAAAAACTTTAAAGAAAAAACTTGGTAGATATAATACTTGTAAACCTCTTTATGGTTGGTTCGATTCTTCCAGCAGCATTTGAAATATATTTATTCGTGATAACTGGAGCTGTCACCGCACGTCATACACACTATGTTCACCACAGTCATCTCACCGACAAAACTTATGGATCTCTAGTCTTGTGTATAGCACTGGCTAAAAGTAGCAATCAAAAAATAATCGAGAGAGTGCAGAGACTTACATAGGTCTTCATAACTAGCGCATCCGAAAAAGAAGCCGCTTATATTCGGAATCGATCTTGAGTGAACTCAAAAGAGGACAGCATATCAGGATGAAGGCTGACTGAGACGCTGACGATAATCACATAAATTCCTATATATATTTGCAGTGTTTTTAAAATTAACATTTTTTATAAAAATATGGTTCATGTTTTAACCAAAACCATATATGTATGTAAATCAAACTTTCAAACCTAAAGCTAGGATTCCACTATCGGCGCAAATAGCTCAATATGTACCGATTTTCATCGTGCTTGATCGGTACATATTTAAAGAAATTTTAAAACTATTTGAGTGGTCTTATTATCATACTGTGACTAACTTTTTCGGTGAATATCGGCCAAATTAAATAGGCCACGATAATTGGTACAGCATGATTACACTATCGTGATTGATTAATAATAATAATCAACAAATTGTCGACTTTGATCACGGCATGAGCGTCCGATAAAATCCGCCGCATTTTTTACAATTTGATTACTCTGAAATGAGCAAAAGATTGTTTACATTATCGGTACAGCGATATCAATTTGCAAAACAGCTTACTCCACATTTTTCTAAGTAATCGAATTGAGAAAAAGCCCAGTAAAATTAGACTTTTTCTAAGAAAAAAATTTGTAACATCATTTTTTTGTGCCGTTTACTTCTATTTGAAGCGTAGATCATGGATCCACAGTCTTGCCCCTAAAATTCATATGGATACATTCCGCCATCTTGGATTTTGGGTTTTAAGGGTTTCCTTTTGCGATTTGCAAGCTTATTTCGCATTTTTCGTAAAAAATGGTTGAATCCAAATTTGTAGAGAATTTAATTTCCCACATTTTTTATATAAAAAGTTAAAAAAAAAAAAATTTTTTATCGTAAATAATTACCACAAACTGCGAAAAAATTGTAAATCCCAGCGGACAACTGCTCGCGGAAGAGCCCTCGCGAGTATCTTTACGAACTGACAGACGAAGTCCAGAGGTATATCAAGCAACCTCTGGACCCGTCAACCTACCGACAGGCCCTGAACGGCATTCACAGGGAATCAGTTTCAAGTGATGTAGACTCCCGCCATGTCAATGCCGTTCTAGGCACACAACCACCGGACGTGGACGGGACAGAACTTTGTCTGCCTCGGGAGACCCGCACTACAATAGCCCAACTTGGCTCTGGCTATTACAGCAGGCTCAACAGCTACCTGAGCCGAATCAACGAGGATGTGCCCAACCAATGCCCGGCATGTGGAGAGTCGCCACATGACTCCCGGCGCCTCTTGACATGCCCTGAGAACCCCACTCAGCTAACGCCCCTGTCCCTATGGACATCCCCTTTGGAAGTAGCACACTTCCTGGGCCTCCCCCTAGCTGAAATAGACGACAACGTTGATGTATGCACCGCCCCAAACGGGGCTTAGTAGCCGATACAACAACAACAACAAAAAAAAAGTTTAAATTGTAACGGTTTTCGCCATTTTTCAACAATTTCCGTTGAAAATACGTAGCATATTGAAAGTCCAAAGTTGTAGAGAATTTCATTTCCCACAACTTTTATATGATTTTTTATTTGTTTTGTACGACGCATAGATCACGACCGGGAATGTGCCAAACATATCGATGTAAAGAAAACGGCCATATCTAAGGTCTTAAAATAATCACTTAGACGCCCGCCATAACAGTGTGGCCTTTTGTATTTAACAATTTTTTACGAAAAATGCAAAATAAACTTGCAAAACGAAAACAAACCAAGAACCCTAAAATCCAAGATGGCGATCCATGATCTACGTGTCAAATAGGAGTAAACTGCATCAAAAAATCGCTGTCACAAATTTTTTGTTTTCTTCGTACAAATTTGATCTAATTTTACTGGACTAAATTGAAAATTTCGATGATAATTTATTGTTATTCCATGCATTTTCGCCCAAGTTCTGTATGAATTCAAAAAATCGATTCTTGTAGTTTTTGCTGTTAAATAACTATGTATATTTTTTTAATAAGAAAAATTTTGCATGAAAAATATAAATAAATAAAATCGTCAAAACGTCAGGGTATGCATATTTTTAACGCTCACATATACATGTAAGTTAAAAAGATCTACTTGTTATGCCGAACACAGATCTCTTAAATTAATAAATATAGGCTTAATAAAGCGTAGAACGCGATTACTCGCTTTACTGACATATTATTTCAGCTTCAAAAGTAAGTATAAAAAATTATCTCTCACTCTCTTATTATTACTGCTGCTAAGACAACACTCAACTGTTATAAAGCTGCAATTTGCATTTCGTATTTGCTAAAAATTATAAAAGAAAGTTGAAATTGTATGTATGTACATATGCTTGTGGGTATATTTATTACAGGAAATACCCTATAGGAAATTTTAGACAACTCGTGATTTTTGTTACTAGTTGTATATTAGAATTTTTAGAACACATCAATCAATGCTAATTTTCATGTGAAATAATGAGACTCCCTCTGGTAGTTGTCGATTTCATCACTTAGAAGTGTAAACGCGAAATAGTACCGAAGACTCCAGACCATTCAAATATTTCCGTTCCCCTATTCAGTCTTCGTGACAAGTTCCAATTTTTGATGTCCTTAAGCAGCGTGGGAAGACTTGCGCGATCGAAGGCGTGTGAAAGGCTGAAAGCCACGATCAACGAACTGATTCGGCCTTATCAGTGCGGATTTAGACCTGCTAAAACCACTGTAAACCTGGTTTTTACCATACGCCAAATTTTCGAAAAGACCTGCGAGAATAGGATCGATATTCACCATCTATTTGTCGACTTCAAAGTCGCTTTCGACAGCACAATGAGGACTTGCCTCTATGCCGACTATACTAGCTTGGAACCCACCGTTTCCAATGCCGTCTAGCGATCAACGAATAAAGTGACGTTCCCTGATAGAGACTTACTATCCCGAATGAGACAAGCTGCCTTCTTTATGGCAGAAATCTCCGCCTAAAAGACACAGTAGGCCGCCTTTCCAATCCTACCTAGTTGGAAAATGTATGGGAATCTTAAGATCAAAATTCCAGGATGAGGTCTGGTAATCTGTTTCGCCATCTAAGTCTGCCTTGAATCAATTACGCCGTCCACTATTAATTACCTTCAAGATCGCTACGTGCCCGTAATTCTAAGTATACTTGCGTTTAGTTTTTCCAGCAGGCAGCAATTGTCATTTGCCCAGTTAATCCTTAGCAATTTGGGGGTTTAAAAAATGTAGCATATTTTTAAGCTAGCAACTGGCGGTTGGCTCCTAGCAACTCACTAGCTCACACCGACTGATAGATACACAGAGTATAACGCGAGGCCACTTATCATTTTTATGCGCTATTGTGGGATTTCATTCGACCGCCAGCCACCAGCCGGCAGTCGCCGACAGCTGCCGCAACATTGAGCGCTCGTATATCAACACTTAAGCCGGCAATAGTGCCGTTTGTACAACAAAAAAAAAAAGAAAAAACAATGACTTACAAAATAAAACAGCATTTTAAAATATAAACAAAATAGGAACAATAAGCGCGCCAACCCAGCTGTTGAGTAAGTTTGTTGCGTTCGTGTGTGGTGTGCGTGGGGCAATTCATTTTCATGCATTTGAGACAAATTATGGGTGGCATCGCAGAAAAAAAGCGATGTGGAAATATTACATATAAGCACACAAGTATATAAAAAGTTTAAAGAAATAAATTTCAGTTTTAAAAGCTCAAGACACGCGCGCTTGTCCAGCAAAGACCAAAAGCGCTGACTGATATATGCATGTATGTACAAAAATATAAATTAAAAAAAATATATTTTTTAAAATAATTTACCATTTAGGCTCTTCACAATTGAGTCAGTCATGCATTGTTTAAGCTGTCTTCAACACGTTGCCACAGCAATGCCATCATTTTGGCTGTTGGTTG